TGAGACTTACCCCTGTGCCCACCACAGTTCTCTTTCAAGGTGCATGAATTCATGCACTGGGCACCTAGTCTACAGATAAAATTCCTCTCTTCTCCTCTCTGGCAGTTGTCAGCGGATATTTTCTTGAAAGTCTAACTTACTGAACAGCCAAAGGGCAGGCCTGATATTACGGTTAGTCCTCAGATCTCGGGCGGCTGTCCGGGAGTGATGGCAGCGTCTCCAAGGTGGGGTGCACCCCCTTGGGAGATGCCTAAGGTGACCTATCGGAATGCAGTCAGAAAGTTTAGAATTTTTGTTTATATCTTTAAAGTTCTAATTAGCCATGGGCTGGGAAATAGAGAAAAGGTGTTCGATGATGCTATTGTGCAAGTTGGTGGGACCTGGAGAAGGGGGGTGACTGTCGGCTGGATGGCCCGGCAGGGTGGCCTCGGGTCAGCATCAGTCTGGCCTCTGAAGGCCTCACCCACTGGACCTTCACTGGGGGGAGGAGCTGCCGGTGCCAGAGGTGGTTCGGCATCCGCTCTCACCTGTGCACTGTCCTGTTCCTGGCAGCTTCTAGGTCAGGCCGCACGCTCCCGTTGTCCTGAGTCTGGACCAGTGGCCTCAGATGCAGCAGTGACCCTGAGCACTTGGGGTGTAGGCTCATCCAGAATGTGGAGTGAGACGGCGCTGTGGCTTGTCTTACACGTGGGGGGAGGGGCAGCAAGCCTCTGAGGGGGCGCCTCTCAGCTCCAGGGGGAGAGCCTTGTCCTCCACCTTCGCTGCCCAGAGGCCTGGCCTGTAGCAGGGGCCTCACAGACGCCCGGGGAAGGGCTGCATGAGATCAGACGGCTGCTGTGCAGGAGTGGGATGCGGCTGGGTGACGCCCTGGATCAGCTCTGTACCCTGCGCCCCTCCTGTGCTGAGGAAGATCCCAGTGGAACTGGCCGGTGCAGAAGCAGGGCGGCCTGGACCGCAGAGGGCGGGGCTGTAGGGGCGAGGAAAAGCTGTGTCGGGACCTCTGGGTGCTCTGTCCTGGGCACAGGGCTCTGAGCAGAGGTTTGGCAAGGCCACCTCATGTCCAGGTTTGCCAGGACAGCCAGGTGTGCACCTGAGGCCCTGGCACAATGGACTATGTACATGCCTCCTTTCACTCTCAGAGCTAACCCCACTTGCTGGCAAATTACCTGGACAGGCTGTGCACAGAGAGTGACACAGGCAGGGAGGAGAGAGCTGCTGGGGCTGAGCTGGTTCCACAGCCTCCACAAGGTTCTCCCCTGTGCCCCGGCTCTGTCCTGGTGTCCTCCAGTCTGCGGGCCGGGTCTGGGAGTGTCGGGCGCTGTTCCTTCTTTGTAGAGTCCAAGTCAGCCTAGTTTGATGTTCTGCCCGGCCAACATGAAAATACTATTATTAAGTTAGAAGAGGCCATGGCCAGTGTTGCTCAGTGGTTAAAACAATAGCCCACCCATTAAATACTCATGGGTTCAATTCCTGGGCAAGGGCACGTACCTGGGTTTCAGGTTCAGTCCCCAGCCCCAGTTGGGGCTCGTGCAGGCAGCAACCAATTGATGTGTCTCTTTCACATCAATGTTTTTCTCTTTCTCTCCCTTTTTCTCTCTCTCTTTCTCCTTCTTTCTCTCCTTCCCTCCCTCCCTCTCCTCTCTCTAAAAAGCAATGGAAAAAAATCCTCAGGTGAGGTTTAAAAAAATGTGGTCATCTGTCCCCTAACACATTCCTGTCCCAAACATGCTTTTTCTTCACCCTGCAGCCGCCCAGAAGCTCAGGGGGAAAGTCAGAATAGCCAACGTCAGGTATTCCGAATCCTTCCGCAACGCCAGCAGCAAGGAATCCCAGGATTTCCTAGAGCTATTCTTCAGGATGGTAAGTTGGTGAAATCGTCCTTACTTCTTTGCAGATGTGAAGGAGGGAGGTGGGTGGAATCCTAGCTGCAGCCCAGCAGGATTTAGACCCTCTTTTCGGAAGGAAGCTAGGACTTCTGGCTCCGGCGTGGGGCTGGGTGTCCCTGGGTCTGCTATTAAATAGACACATCAGTAGATGGGAGACATACCTTGTCCTTTGCTGCCTCCTTGCCTCACACTGTTTCCTGCTCAGTGCAACTTTATCCAGGTGGGACCCCTTGAAGCAGAAAGCCCCTCCCCTGCCTTAAAAAGAACACTTAAAAAAAAAAGAGAGATCTATTTCATATACCACAGGACGCAGGGTTTTAAAGTGCACAGTTCAGTAGTTTGGACTGTATTGTATTCATAAAATTGTGCAACCATCACCACCTTCTAATTCCAGAATATTCCATTACCGCCCCCCCCCCAAACCCTACCCATTAATAATCACTTTCTATTCTCCCTTCTCTCTGCTCCTGGCAACCACTAATGTGCTTTCTGTCTCTGTGGTCTTGCCTGTCCTGGACATTTCATAGAAACAGAATCATACCATATGTGACCTTTTGTGTCTGGATTATTTCACTGAACATACTGTCTTCAAGGCTCACCCATGTTGTAGCATGTGCAGAACTTCATTCAGGAAACCATTTCCTCTGACTGGCTGAAGAATATTCCAGCATGTGGATGGGCCACATTTTGTTTATCCTTTCACTCATTAGTGGGCATTTAGGTTGTTTCCAATTTTTACCTTAAAAAGTTATCTTCCTGCTCTTTCTTGCCCTTCCTCTGCCATCTCGTCGGCATTCTTTGGGATGGTATGTTGTTACGACTTAGGGTAGCAATCTCAATGTTATTTTTGATGGAGGTTAGACTACCCTTTGTTGAATAGAGAACACGCTTGTCATGACCTAGTGACTTACTTGCACAGAAATCTCATGGATGCTAGCTTTTCCGTATCCTGGGCGTTTGAGATACAGAATAGCCAGAGTTTAGCGGCGCCATCTAGTGGTGGAGTGTGAAGACGTGCCGGCGCCTTAGCAATGCAGGTGGCCTCACCTTTGATTCTGTTCAACCCTGTCAGCATCACTTAGTGATAAAACGGTCACACAGCCTCCAGGAACTGTCCAATTGAGGCTCCCCAGGATCTGGGACGCCACATTATTTATCCTGGGACCCCCAGCTCCTGGTCCAGTGCGTGGGTTCCAGAGCTGTTGACTCATTCATGTATCCATCTGCTTTAGGTTAAAGATAGCTACACTGAGATTGAGCAAACACTGAAATCAGTCCACATCGCTCTGGTGGTCACGCGAGGGAGCTCCATTTCCACCCCGAGTTTCTTGATTAACATTTCCTCTTTAAACCATTTCCTCATTTGCCAATTTTTGGGGATAATTTTTGTTTGTTTTTTATTTAGAATTTCAGGATAGCAAATAAGGGTGCCACTTATCTCATTTGTAGGACTTTAAGACAAGTTCTGGGAAGTTGTGGGTTAATTCAGTACCTTGTTCTTTGTAACTGCCTAGCAAGGAGCCTGGAACTTGGTTTGAGATGGGTTTGAAAGGCAATTGAAGGTGGCATTGATCCAAGACTGTGACAGATCCCTCTTAGGAAGTCTCAGAAGAGCAAAAGAGACAGAGAGAGGGAGGGAGAGATAGATGATTATAGATATATGATTGCTAGCTAGCTGGCTAGATGATAGATGATAGATGATAGATAATAGATACATAGACGATAGGTAGATAGATAACAGTTTACTGTTCAATTAATAATGTCAGCCATGTGACTGCAGGCAGCTCCTGGTCTCTGGGCCTCTGCAGCCTTTGGTGGGTGACACTAGATGCTCAGGTTGACTGTCCCCAGGCTGGGAAGTGAATCCTGGGCTTGAGCGCCTCCTACAGGGCAGAGGCGGCAAGGCTTTTTCCGTGACAGCAAAGTCTGGAGGTGCGCTTTCCATAGTGTGGGCTCCTTAAAGCTAATCACCATGTCTTCCTGGGCATTTCGGCCATGCTGGGCTGGACTGGAGTAATACCATGTGTGGTGTAAGGTGCTGTCCAAAGTGATAGAATAAGAAACGGCTTTCAGAGGCAGGAACCGCCTGCCCCAACAGGGTGCTCACAGGAAGCAGTTTTTGGAAAGGCAGGGAGGAGGATTAGAGGGAAAATGTGTCATATCAGGAGCAAAAGGATTATTCTAGGAAAAACAAAGTGAGTGACCACTCATCTAGGCCCCCGCCCCCATGGCTCTGAGCTGCTGGGGGCAGATCCCAAGGCCACTGTGAGTGAGAAGCCCCTAGGGTAGGGCAGCCCCATCCGGACAGCTGGTTAGGGGCAAACAGGGCTCTTCTCAGGATCTCAGACCCACAGGCACTGGGACTGGGCCCAGGCCCGGCCTGCAGCTTTGCCCTGCTGCTGCCTGCAATCCCAAGAGGAGTTCTTTTCACCGGTTCTGTCTCTCTGAAGGTGCGCGAGTCCCTGTCACCCACCATGCGCCAGCACCTGGACGCGGGCGGGGTGCGCGTGGAAGTGACCCGCATCGCCAATGGCAGTGTCGTGGTGGAGTTCAGCCTGCTGATCGTCGCGGACTTGGAGGTCCAGGCGGTGTCTGCCGCGTTCCTCGCCGCCTTTCAGAACGCCTCTCTGCTGGAGGTGGACAGAGGGGACACCTTCATCGGGGGTACGTGTTGGTCTGGCCTGGTGGAGGCTCACCGGGTCTGGAATGCGAGGCAGCCAGCTCCCAGCTGCTGCCTTTGTTTCTGAAAGGTGTCGCTCCGCGTGCTCCCTCTCCGGGGCTTCCCGGCATTAGATGGAAACGGGAAGCAGGACTCTCCTCTCGCTTTTTGCTCCTATGTTGTTGTTTGTATTTATGACTTACGGGTTGAGAACAGCCTCTGGTGAACATGGGGTGCTGCTCCCTGGGCGCAGGCTGCGTCCTGCCCCCGCCCCTCCTCCACTGCTGTTGCCATGGGCCCAGGGCAGACCCGTCCCGCTCTGCAGCCAGACTTCCTCCAGAGCACGGTTGCCAAGGAGATCCTAGTGAAAATAATTGAAAAGCAGGGAGAAAGGGCAACTGAGATGCTCTCCCCAGATGGTCTTAGTCAGCTCAGCTGTCACAATAAAACACGCAGATGGGTGGCTCACACAGCGGACATGGTCTCACAGTCCCGGTGGCCAGAAGTCCAGGCTCAGGTGCCAGCCAACCTGGTTTCTGAGGAGAGTCCACTTCCTGGCGTGTGTCCTCAGAAGGAGAGCCCCTGGGTGACTCTTCACGTAAGGACACCGATCCCACCAGATCAGGACCGCACCGCCATGACCTCCTTTAACCTGAATTACCCCCGAAGGCCTGTCTCCAAACACCGTCACATGGGGGTTAGGGCTTCTGCAGGTGAACGTTCAGGGGCACAGGCCAGTCCACAGCACGTATCCCACTTGAAAATCGTGATAAAGGGCTTGCAGGAACCTGCATAAAAAACCAAAGACAGCATAGATGAATATGTTTCTGAATTTTTGGAGTAAGAAGTGTTTTCCAAGTTTAAAAGCAGAAGGAAAACAAGCCCACAGAAGAAAGACTGGAATATTTGATTCCATGAAAATGTAATCTTTTATGTCAAGCAAACAAAATAAAGGCGCCCTTGTAACGCAAGCAACAAACCAAAGTATAATTTTAATAATGTGACAAGAATGACACCCTAAATAGAGAGAGAGAGGTCACATGCATCGGTCATATCCGTTTTGTTCAGCAAACCTGCACGACTGTTAGTAAGTAACTGAGCACAGGAACCAAAGGCAGGTGTCTTGTTTTCGGGGCCCCGCGCCTGAGACCAGGGGTTGGGTGGGGCCTGCTCACCTCCTGGCTGCTCTGATCTGACACTGCTTTGCCCAGTGTCTCCCCCGCACCTCCCAACCCCGGGACCAGGAATTCTTCCAGAACAGCCCCTGCAGCCCGCTGACACCTGCCCCCACCCCATCCCTGTCTCCAGAACAGATAACTTGGATAATTTTTAACTTTCTCTGAGATGCACTTTCCACGCGGCTGTCTGTAAACAGCCGGCAGGGTACCCCTCTCCACAGCCCTCAAGCCCACTGAGAAGGTCTGTTTTGTTCCCGAAATGTCGCACAGATTTCGATGAGTGTGAGAGCAGGGAGGACGACTGCGAACCTGGCACAGTCTGTCGCAACACTCTCGGGTCTTTCACCTGCAGCTGTGTGGGAGCTGCCCCCGACTTCCCTGTAGAATATTCTGGAAGACCCTGTGAAGGTAACATCCTCCCGGTCCCTTTTCTGGAATGCTGTCGGTAATCTGTCCTGTGGAAAGAAGCAAAGTGCCTCTTTTCCAAATGAGGTCGGCCTATTTTATGTCCTGGGCAAGTTGCCCGGTGTGTGTGTGTGTGTGTGTTTGTGTGCGCGTGCACATGTACCCATGTGAGTGTGTGTGTGCGCACATGTACCCGTGTGCATGTGCACATGTTTGTGATGCTGTCCCTTCACATCCTCTCATATGTCTCCAGTCTTCTCGGTGGTGCCTCATCTCCCCAAATGATTCTTCTGATGACTGAGATGAGAAAACACACTCAGAACCGAGGTGTGTTTTCTTGCAAAACGTACAGCCCATGAGACAAGCACCATGTGCGAGACGTTTCTCCTCAGCCCCTGTCTCCACTCAGCACTTTCCCCATCCAGTGGGGCTGTGGTGAATTCAGCATTGACTCTGAGATGATGCCTGCCATACAGGGATCTGTGGTCAAGTGGAGGGAGACAGACGTTTATATGAGTAAACACAGTGTCACAGGGAATGTGGAATGTGCCCTCCTGCTTGAGGTAGAAACAGGAGGCCCAGAAGAGACTAAGTTGTTTCAGCCCCATGTGTGTGGTCAGGGAGGGCTTCCTGGAAGAGGTGCCTTAGAGCTGGTCTCAAACGATGGCTAAGATAAGCACTGGGCAGAGGGGGCCGTGGTGGGTGGGGGCAACAGTGAGAACAGCACTGTTCAAGGTGGGCATGGTCCAGGCATGCAGCTGGGCTAGCTTCAAAGTGGGTGCCTGCAGGAGATGGGTGGGAGGAGTGGGAGGCAGGCTGCCAAGAGCAGTGGGTGAGGCCAGTTGGGAAGGCTGCAAATGCCAGGAGCAGTGATTTGGACTGCAGGCTGGAGGCAGGGAGAGCTAGGTGAGGCAGCAGAGTGATGGCTGAGACCCCCCGCTCCCCCACACACATACACCTTGAGACAAAAGATGGCAGGTGCTGAGGTAGCAGGCAATGGGGCCGGGCTGTAGAGGAGGGCCCAGGGGACAAGCTGAGATGTGTCTTGGGCCTGCTTCCTGCAGGCCAGGGAGGGAGCCCAGGGAGAATGGTGGGCGCCTTTAAGGAGCCTCTTCATTCTTCCAGAGGGTGAAACGGAGAGTGCTTTGGGGGCAGCAGGGAGCTGGAGCAGGAGCGAGGGACTCAAGGATCCAGAGAGTAAACATCACGAACTCATCTTAGAGACAGGACTCGGGGACTCCCGAGGGTAGATGGCTTGTCCCAAGTCCATGGGCTTGGCACCTGCCCAGCCTGGGCCTGGGAGAGGCTAGAAGAGGCTGGGAGGGCAGGAGGCCCCTCGATTCCCTGGCCCACAGGGCCCCTGGGTAGCCAAGCCGAGCCCAGCTACCTGGGTTGGCAGAAATGTGCAACACATGTGTGCATGCAGCCGTGGCTGGAATGTGCAGTTCCCAGGCGTGTGCTGTGGGGGCAGGGGCTTCCCCGTGGGCTCTCCACCCTCAGTGCCGGCCTCACAGTCCAGACTCACATCACAGTCCCCGAACGCAGACCCACAAGCTGCTTGTCTCCTCGTGTCTTGTAGGTGACTCTTCTGGAAACACAACCCAGGCCCCCGGGTCTTCTGTGGGCCCCGGCCCAGAGCAGCCCCCCACCCCCGCAGAAACCAGGGCGGCCTCCGTGCAAGGGGCCAGCCCGGCGCCCCAGGACCCACCCCCGCGGCTGAACCTGACGGGAGCGGTCAGGGTGCTCTGCGAGATCGAGAAGGTGGCCATCGCCGTCGAGAGGCGCTTCCTGCGGCAGGAGTCCATCCCCGAGTCCTCCCTGTACCTGGGGCACCCGTCCTGCAACGTGAGTGACAGCAACAGCACACACGTGTTCCTGGTGGCCGCGTGGAGCGAGTGCGGCACCCTCGTGCAAAGCGTAAGTCCTGGGCGGGGCCGTCCAAGCTGTCCGGACCCCGATACGGGGAGGGCCCGCACTGACCTGGGGACCGGAAATCCTCTGTACCCTGAGATCCTGACTCTAAGTGAGGGACTCGCAAAGGAGTCAGGATAGGGCCGAGTTCTCACTGCAGATTGGGCTGCACCTTAGAACCAGGAGGGACCTGAGAGCCCCGCCCTGCCAGGATTCTGGTGCAAAGGGCCTGGGGCACATTCGAGAGTCAGGGTGCAAAACAGCCTCTGGGGAGTCTGATGTACAGGCAGAGCCAGTGGGGAGGAAAGGGGGAGGGAAGCTGGAGCCTATGTGTGCACGTGAGCATCCATGTGTGCACGTGAGTGTCCATGAGTGAGAATATGTGTGTGTGTATGTGTGCGTGTGTGCATGCATGTGTAACTATGGTTTGTATGAGTGTGCATGTGTGAATGTGTGTGTAGCTATGGTTGTATGAGTGTGCGTGGGTGAATGTAGCTATGGTTGTGTGAGTGCGGGCATGTGTTGGAGGATTTGCCATGGGCAGAGCTGCCCAGCTCCTGCTGGCCATGCTCCTGCAGGCTGTTCCCAAGTGTGGGTCCGCCGCTGTGGTGGGCGAGGGGGCCCGGAGTCAAGGCTGCCATGTCGGCTCGCTCCCTTTGATTTTCTGAGCTGGGCAAACACCTGGCTTAGCAGTTACAGTCAGCTGGGTTCAGGGCCTGGTCAGAGCAGAGGGAAATTCATCTCCTATGAGTCACGCCAGCCCTGGAATCCACACAAGTTCTCGATGTTCTTTGACGTTTGTCAAAAGCTAAGTTTGCCTTGAAGACTTATTTGTACAAACTGATGGATTACACACAGCAGGTTCCACCTTACTTTTTTTTTTTTATTAAGCAGTTTACATTTTATTCACCCCCAGGTTAAAAGAAAAAGGATCACAGCCCTAACTGAGTTGGCTCAGTGGATAGAGCGTCTGCCAGCAGACTGAAAGTTCCCGGGTTCAATTCTGGTCAAGGGCACGTACCTTGGTTGCAGGCTCCTTCCCAGCTCAGGCCCTGGTCAGGGCGTGTGCAGGAGGCAACCAATCGATGTGTTTCTCTCACATCGATATTTCTCTCTGCCTTTCCCTCTCTCTTCCACTCTCTCTAAAAATCAATAGGAAAATATCCTAGGGTGAGGATTAAAAAAGAAAAAAAAAAGGAAAAAGGTCACATTTCTCTGTTTGATTACTCTAAACCGGTCATGCAGACATGACTATGAAGAGACACAAATTCACCCATGCCCCCAAAAGCTTCGCTTGAGAACAGAATCATCTTCGTAAATACATGTAAGATCCTTACAAAGATAGAAGGGGATTTCTCTGTTTTTCCTGAGACACTTTGCAAAATGCTGACCGAGTCCTCCCTGTACCTGGTGTCTCTCCTCTGGCCCATCAAAGACTTGGCCTCGGGACTGAGTTAAATCTAAGAGGAACAGGAGTTTGTTTGGCTGAAAACCCACAGGGCCTGCAAGCATCTTGCAGACAATTCCTCCCAAATACGGAGATGCAAACACAGGCCTATTTTTAAAGAAGCCAACACAAAAGATTGGCATAAATTCAAAAGGGATGAAAGGCTTCCGTGAGGGACCCATCCGTTAAGAACTGCACACCTTTGGTCCTAGAAGCTACTGCATTGCTAGTCACTACTCAAGAAAATGAATTCTAAACATGAACCTGGTTTTCAGTAGGTCAGATTTTGCTCCTTATATAAAATCCTAGAGCAAATCTAATAGCTTTCAAAGACGTGCTAGTGGCTCTGATGTAATCGACTTTACCAAAGTCTGTCCAGTAGCAACGAAGGAGCTGCAGAAGGGGAAAGAGACTTCTCTTCAGTGGCTCCCTCTTCAGAACCATTGAAAGCCGCCCCTTCCCCTCACACTCCGTAAGCCTTGCCCCCTCCAGCGTTCTGTTCTTAAACCCTCTCACGCTGGAGCCTGGCTGGCCACTGGACTCCTTGTCTCTCGGATTCATGGGTCCCGTGAGTCATGTGAGCCTGGGAATTTTCACTTTCAGCAAACACTGCACGGGCAGCCTTATCAGGGTCAGAGGTTTTGTCTTACAGCGCACCGTCGGCCTCGCTCGCGCCTCCTCCGAGAAGTCCAGCGGCTTCTTCTGTTCTTGGCTTGTTTCAACAACGCTAATTGGACTTCTTCACTGTCCCCAATTTTCAAAAAACCCTGCCCCTCGTTTCCTCCTCAGTCGATGGTTCTGACGTGCTGACTTCACACAAAATTTCCCTTGTCTAGTTCTAAACCGGTGAGGCCGGCGAGCTACCCGCAGGGCAGTGCCCACTGTGAACTGTCAAGAGCTGCTGGTCACCACGGCAGGTGACCAGCTGCCCTCGGAGGGCCCTGTGCTCTGTTCTGGTGACAACTTCGGGGGTGTCAGTAGGGGACACGGGAGACCCACCACCGTGACAGTCAGACTCCAGGCCACGAGCCAGCAAAGTGCTTCCAACAAATAGTTAGAACTTCAGGTATTTTGTCCAACAACAGACTTCAGTGTAGTGATGACACCCACTTCCCCTCCCCCCCTCTCCCCTTCAGGCCCTCCATCTGGTTTCCCTGTCTTGCTGCAGTCTCTTAGAAAAGCCCATTTCCAGGCCAGCTGTCTGAAATTTCCTCTTCTTTCTGCTCAACCTCCACATGCCAGCAACCAGACTTAACCCCAGCAGACAAGGGAACAGGCCTCTTTGTGCTTGAAACAAATTGCTCCACACCTTTGCTCAGAGCAGGGGTGGGGAACCTCCACATAAGGCCCGTGAAATCATTTGGTCTGGCCTTGCCAAGGCAGCAGGAGTGAGGTCATTAAATGTTCGACTCAATAGAGCAGGCTAATCTTTAGGTTGACCATTCTGTATGGCCTAGGAATGATGTGATAAATATCCAAATGGCCCTTGGCAGAGAAAAGGTTCCCCATCCCTGGTCACTTCATTAACATCGACAGGCTTAACATTGTTCCCCGGAGACTCAAGTCTGCAGTTCAGCCGCGTTGTCACTTGTGCACCCTCGTCCTCACCAGGATCATGTTCTTTCCTTCCGTTTCTCTTCTGGATCTTTGCTTGGTGTTGTTTCCCAGACTAGAGAACTTAGAAGGAGTGCTGGCTGGCTCGGCCGCAGGCCTTTACCAGGTTAACTCTTGATTCTTCCGGTGAGGGCCCTGTGCTCTCATTTTCAGAAATGTTCATGGGATAATCTGGTGGGGGTGGGGGTCAGATGTGTTATTGTGGGTACACCCTGATCTAGACCACCTCTATCCTCCTCCAGTGAGGAAGCTGGCACTGGACATAGGCATCAGCCAGCCCCTGGACTTCACCCTCTCTATGACAGTTTACGTTAGAAAAAAATAATTTGGGTTTTTTTCTGTAATATTTTATTTATTTTTTACAGAGAGGAAGGGAGAGAGATAGAGAGTTAGAAACATCAATGAGAGAGAAACATCAATCAGCTGCCTCCGGCACACTCCCCACTGGGGATGTACCCGCAACCAAGGCACATGCCCTAGACTGGAATCGAACCTGGGACCTTTCAGTCCACAGGCCGACGCTCTATCCACTGAGCCAAACCGGTTAGGGCTCATTTGGGTTTTTATATTTTGGGGGGAAAAGCTTTTAAGAAGACCCCTCCCCAGCACCCCTACTGGGGTCCTGCTGGGGCCCTGCTGGGGCCCAGGAACTCGCTCATGCCCCACTTGGTTTGTCTCAGAACATGACGAACACGGTGGTGAGGACCACGCTGAGGAACGACCTGTCCCCCGAGGGCATCATCCACCACCTGAAGATCCTGAGCCCCATCCGCTGTGCCTTCCGCAACGATCTCCTGACGTCATCGGGCTACACCCCGGAGTGGGGGTGAGTGGAGAGGCGCCCCCCCTCTCCCCAGTGCGCGTTCCTCTCTAGCACCCTCGCTGTGGGTTTCCTTAGGGTTCCAATCACTTGAGGGCCATCTGAGAGACTGAATACACAACGGATGGTGCCAGGACTTGGCTAATAATGGCCAGCTTTCTTCAACCTTGTTCCCGCTTCCAACTCAGGACCGACCCAAGGAAGCCATATATGTTTCTCTAATCAACCACATAGGACATCCCACTTATAGCAAGCCTGCCCACAGCTTCCCCCCTCTACCTGCCTGTCTTTGAGTCTCCATCAGTCAGGCGATGGGACTGAGCCCCCGCTGCCACCAGTTCAGAATAAATAGCCTTTCTTGCTTGTCCTCCTTTGGGTTTTATTTCCACGCTTCTTTGAGGTTGCTTTTTGGGGAGGAATGGGGCTGAGAGGGATCCCAGGAGGGAACCTCCAGCAAACTGCTCCCTCCGCAGGGTTTACACCATCATTGAGGACCTCCATGGCGCTGGAAATTTTGTCACAGAAATGCAGTTGTTTATTGGGGACTCTCCTATACCTCGGAATTACAGCGTGTCTGCCAGCGACGACATCAAGATCGAAGTGGGGCTCTATAAACAGAAAAGCAACCTCAAGGTGGTCCTGACCGAGTGCTGGGCAACGCCGTCCAGTAACGCCAGGGACCCGGTCATGTTTGGCTTCATCAACAACAGGTAGGGGTTCGGGTGGGCCTTGGGCATTGCTGCCCCCCTTGCTGGTGGCCAGCTTTGGGCCTCTGAATTTCCAGACTTGTACGTGCATGGACCTGGGTTTTAGGTAACACCCCACAGGAGACCCTTTCCTCTCAGGAGCTGGAGATCTAGCCATCCCTGCCTTCCAGGGAGCCTGGTGGGGATGCTCCATGTGCAGCCAGATGTATTGTAACTCTCTCGTTTTGGAACAAGGATAGGAGGACCAGTTTATAATTAATGAGTCACCTTTTCTCTCCTCCCAGCTGCCCCATCCCCAACACACATACCAACGTGATTGAGAATGGGGACTCCAACAAGGCCCAATTTAAGCTGAAAATTTTTTCCTTCATCAACAACTCCATAGTCTACCTGCACTGCAAACTCCGCATCTGCATGGAGACCCCCGGAGCCACGTGCAAAATCGTAGGTGTTGGGTGTTTTACGTTTCTGTCTGGGTCCTCGCTCCCTCTTGTTATGAGGGGGGTTGCTGTGTTATCCAGGGCGTGGTTGGCTCTGAGAAGAGGTGCTGGGCCCTGTAGATGTGGCCCCTAAAAGGCAGGAAATGGCATTTTAACAGTGGGCACCATTGGGGGAGGACCGACTTAGCTGGGTGTCACCTTAGTCCTTCTTGAGGCCATACCATCTGCTGGCCGTCACGTCAGAGCTTCCTTGTCATGAGGCTGTTGCACTTCTCAAGGCGATTTAATGCATATTTAGGTGCAAAAGTGTTATTTTAATTTCACTTTATTTTTAGCTACTTTGATGGAACACTGCTGATTCGTAGCCACTGTGACATTCAATCAGGTGTTTCTCCTTCCCTATGTGCAGCATTCATGCTGGGATTATGAATAATTTTACATTCTCATTTTCTTTGACCTTTGAATTCAAAATGTGCTTTGAGTCCTGAGATTTGAAAGCTCTCCTTCATACCAGTGACACGTATGAGAAGTGACTGTTGTGTGTTGTTTGGGGCCAAGGACAGTGTAGGGGGCTCTGTTGGCCGCTGATCGGACCACTGCGTGTCTCTCTGCAGGTCTATGCTTGTCCCTCTGGTTTTCCTAAGGTTTTCCTGCACAATCCACCTCCGAGCGTCAGTAGGTCATGGATGAGCGAAATCCAGTGACGGTCGGTTTTGTTGATGTCACTTTTATCAAGCAGTAGATCTGCTGGAGCACGGGAGGAAAGGGACACAGGCTCCCGATGACGGCCAGCTAAGGGCGCGGAGGAGTCTGCACCTAGTTGCACTGGCCCCACAGAGATGCTGAGAGTATTAATAGCCACAGTGGCAGTCCCCAGATTCTTTACAACATGAGCTCCACACATTCCTTCCCAAGTTACTTGAGGATGGCCATTGTATTGGTTTCCTGTGGCTGCTGTACAAAGTACCCCAGAGGATTGGCTTAAGCAAGAGAAATTTGTTGTCTTCCAGTCCAGGGGGCTGGAAGTCCAAGACCAGTGTGTGGACAGGGCTGCTTCCTTCTGGCTGAAAAGGAGGATCTGTTCGGTCAATCTCCGAGGCTTGTAGAAGCCCATCTTCTCCCTCTATGTGTGTCTGTGTCTGTGTTCAAATTTCCACTTTGGATAAGGACACAGTCATATTGGATCAGGACCCACCCTAGCGAGCTCGTCTTAACTTGAACATCTGCAAAGACCCTGCCTCCAAATAAGGTCACATCACAAATACTGGGAGTTAGGGCTTCAACATCTTTTGGGGACATATGAGCCCACAGTGGGTTTAGGCAAAGGCATTAAAAGGAACACATGGTTGCAGTAGGCTGTAGAGATGCGAAGGTGACTCTGAGAGCTTTGTTGAGAAATATCCCCGAACCATGGGATAAAGGGACCAGCACTGGTAACTAGAGACAGCTCGAGGGGCTGCTGCCTCTCATTGCTCTTGTGCACCTCCTTGCGGCCAGCCCTTCCTCCCTTTCACACTGGGCAGAGCATGTGGTCCAGGTGGTCCTGGTGGTCCAGGTGGTCCAGTTGGTCCAGTTGGTCCAGATGGTTCAGGTGGTCCTGGTGGTCCAGGTGGTTCAGGTGGTCCTGGTGGTCCAGGTAGTCCAGGTAGTCCTGGTGGCCCAGGTTGTACAGGTGGTCCTGGTGGCCCAGGTGGTCCAAGTGGTCCAGGTGGCCCAGGTGGTCCAGGTGGTCCAGGTGGTCCTGGTGGTCCTGGTGGTCCAGGTGGTCCAGGTAGTCCAGGTTGTCTTGGTGGTCCAGGTTGTCCTGGTAGTCCAGGTGGTCCAGGTTGTCCTGGTGGTCCTGGTGGTCCAGGTGGTCCAGGTTGTCCTGGGGGTCCAGATTGTCCTGGTGGTCCAGATTGTCCTGGTGGTCCAGGTGGTCTAGGTTGTCCTTGTGGTCCAGGTTGTCCTTGTGGTCCTGGTGGTCCAGGTTGTCCTGTTGGTCCTGGTGGTCCAGGTTGTCCTGTTGGTCCAGGTGGTCCAGGTTTTCCTGGTGGTCCAGGTGGTCCAGGTGGTGTTGGTCGTCCAGGTTGTCCAGGTGGTCCAGGTTGTCCTGGTGGTCCAGG